CCAATATGAAGTACAACACCTCTGGATTACCCATGATTCCAAGTTGTAGTGTGAAAAATAAAATACTCAAATGCATAGTTCTTTTAAGATCTTTATTGTGGTTTGAAACATATTATATGAGCGTATTTTTTACCAACCGCCTAATGAACTATACACAGTTATTAACATAGTAATTAAAAGTACCACTGTCTGCTTTGCTATTGGTGTCGTGTTAAAACGGCTCACCATCACGCTGAAATCTGCCATGCGTTGGGGTATAAATACGATACAGTGTGGTCAGTCTCAGAGACATTTTTCTTACCATTACGTCTGCAAAGAGACTTCCCAGTCCACAATTGCATAGGGGTCTACTAGGTATCACTGATGGGGCCTCTAAGGGGTCGGGGGGCCCTAAGCAACTGCAGTCTCTGGATAGTTATGCCATTGGTTATTTCTCTATATTTTTTTCAGCGCCTCTAATGAGAGCTGAGATTAACCTTTCGGTCATGCTAATTGAGATCAGACAATCAGTTCCCCACTCCTCCCCTCTGTACCATTTATCCCTGAGTGGGCTACACCCACAGCAAGGTTACACTCATGTGAGCAGGTGCACGATGAATTTATTCCCTGAGCCCTTCTCCTACCTGCATTTAGGGGAGGGAGGTGCTGGAGATCACACCTTGCCTCAGGGCGGGTCCGCTCCTTTTTGTTTGCCGGCTCCATGGGATGACAAACGGGGTCAATTTTTTTAATTGAAAAATTGAACTTGAATGTCTCTCCTTATAAAAGAGTTAACTTCTCAGACCTTTATTTTATTTTACATTTTAATGCACTGAGGGCACTTTTTTGTTTTATTCATAGAAGATATTTCGCACAGGTGAGTATCTCCACAACACTTGACCGGTGCCGCTTCCCCGTCGCACCGGCGTACAAATAGGGCGGAGCCTCTTGGAGGTGAGCGCGTGGGCGTGCCTCGATACTGCTGCCAGGCTTTGATGACACACTGAACTCTGCAACGCCAGATTCCACTCAGCAGAGCCATGGGGAAGACAGGTGGGAGAGCAGACTTTGAGTGGGTCTACACTGACCAACCCCACACCTCCAGGAGGAAAGAAATCCTAGGTGAGCTTCTAAAGTTTGAATTGACACACAGAATGAAGATATTTATCCTTTTTTTTTTTTTTTTTAACCTGAACCTTGGCTTCATATTGCTCCGCAGTTTACCCTACTTATAAAACGTATCCGGTTAAACCTGTTTACTAGCTGTTGCTTAACGGGCTATCTGTCCACAGTGGATGCAAAAAATGATGTCATTACAGGAAAAAAAAAAGCAGCTCAGTTTAAACACAAGAAAGAAAAAAAAACTTGAAGATAAATGTTCGAGATAATTTGTAAAGTAGCAGGATACAGTTTAAACAAAATTGTCTAGCCTATTTGAGTTGTCTATTTATTTAGGAAATATAATTAGGAAAAAAAAAACAGAGAAAACATTTTTTGCTCTAATAAAATAAAACTGAATTCCCTCCAAGCATTTTATATTCGTAAAAATATTTTTATTTTAACAATATTATAGATGTATAACTTGTAAAAAATGTAAAAAATATATTTTCTGACATTTATTGATGCAAGTTATGTTTTTTCTGCTCTTGTCAGTTAGTTGATACCATGGCAACCAGTAACTGATGGACTGATGTAAACCATCACATTGATTTTCTCTCTTGTTAGACTAGATTTCGTGAACCTTACATAAACTAACTGGAACTGAGACGAACACAGAAGGTTAAACTGCTGCTACTAAAACAACTGTCACTAATTATCATAATACTAATACCAGAAATTACTAGTCATGCCCAATAGGTTCATGGAGATGTTTGGATTTTAGCCTGAAATGTTAAACAATGTTTCATTGTGAGTGGATGAATCGTTTTAAATGTTGGTGTCTTTATGAGGAAGTTTAACAGTTAAAGTCTGTAGTTAATTTTCTTCTACCAGAACTTGAATTTATTAACATGCCTCATATTAATTCTCCTGCTTTGACTTTAACTGGCTACAGGTTTCCCCACTTTTAATGATTTTTTTTAGGTAAAAAACACTTTTAGGGGCTTTCAGGCCAGCATCTCTTGTTCCGCTCCTGTCAGTCCTGAAGTAAGGATGCGGATAGTGTTGATACCCAGTTATGAAAGGAATGGTATTATTCAAACTCAGGCTGCTGACCGTCAGTAAATGAGCATGTAGCGCAAATAAAGCTTTTAAGCCCTCTCTTTCAGCCTTCTTTGTCGTGTAATTTTTTCCAACTGCGTCCCTTATTGATATAACATGCAGGTGAACACGCCTCAGGCCTCTTAGGTAACAAAACACATTATTGTCCCATGATGAGCAGCAGTGCGAAGCTTTGGGGGGAGTTAGTGTGTATAAATCTTAACCCTTTAAAACTGCCTTTAAACAGACTTTATAAATCATCAATCTTTTTTATCAGCTTCTCTGTTGAACTTTACAAACGTATTAAAAAACTGCATTTTTATTGTTCTGTTTGATATTTGGTGTTAATAATTAAAAAGCCCAGGTTAACAAGGTGGCAACCTGCTGATGTAAATTTGATCCTAGCTTTTTGTTTTTTTTTCTCCAGCCGTTATGTGGTCGTATTGCTGCAAAACGAGCACCTCCAAGGTGTTGTCTTTAATTTTCTAACACCTCCAAACCATTAATTATTCAATATGTTTAGCTCTAATTATGATAAACCAACCCCATGCGCATGGCAGTACATTTTCTCATTGTTTTCCTGCATGGTACTTACTGTCCTTTGGCTCTTATACATCGAGCTCCTGTTTTGCAGCATGTCGGCAGAATATTAACATTTTTAACTCGCATATAGACTTTTTTATCATCATAAAGACATTTGTCAGAGGTGTGACTATCTTATGAGGTCACAAGATCATAAATTACTGCAACACTCATCATACTTTGTCTCCCATGATAACTACTGAATGTTATCTCTCCAGAACAAGTTTTACTCTAGCATATTTCAGTTGAAACAATCTTTTTACTCTTAATACCTCAGTCTGGAGATTTAAACAATCATTTGTAATACCAAAGGTTGCCTCCCTTGCATGGGGAAGTAAAAACCAAATAATGACCTCACTGTGTGTGTCTGTGTGTGTGTGCACGCACAAAGATCCATTAGGTAGTTTAAACAGCTCTTTTATAGCAGCTGGTTACTCATTTATCTTTATGCCCTGCTAGTGGGCTGAAAATATGTGTCACTAAATGCTGAATCCAAGCAACATGTTCAAATAAGTTCCCATCATGCAGCAGATTAAAAACGACCCCTGATCAGCTACACTGTGATAATCTCTTATCATGATTTATTGTTTTTACAACAACATGAAGCATTGAATAATTCTTACCTACCAAACATGAACTTGAGGAGAGGGTTTGCTTAAAATAGTCAGAAAACGTGAAATTGCAGTGACATAATTGATAATGCAAACTCAAGAGAAAACTTTACACGAGGAAGCTGAATTTGCGTAGAGACTGGGAAGCTGTAAACAAAGCAGCATTGTGGATTTGCATTCGACTCTCCTGGGATGGAGAGTTACAGGCTGGTATCTAAGCTGCCTGACATGCTAGCTGTCATGTGAAGGCTTTCATAACTTAATTGCACCACATCTCTGACTTTTATTCTTTTCTATAAGGTGCGGTCAGTGTTACAGATCCAAACTTGTATACCTATGGTGTAGAGTTATGTTGCAATACTAATGGCTTCTTTTGTCAGTGGATTTTTTTTAACGGCTGCAGTTTAATGTCATGCAAGTCATGTCCTCCAGCAAAGTAACACCTCTGCTAATTAATGCTTACTTTTGTCAGCAGGTTTTCCCGGGAGGAGGATAAGCACCTGGCAATATGGACTCCTTTTGAAATTGACTTAATTAATCCCAGTGTTGCTGCCTTGACCAATAAATAATTTCCTTTTCACATCCTTCCTCTCTCTGTTTCTCTTCTCAGCGAAATACCCAGAAATCAAGAGCCTGATGGGTCCAGACCCTCAGCTGAAGTGGGTGGTGTCTGGTATGGTCCTAACCCAGCTGCTTGCCTGCTACTTGGTCCACAACCTTCCCTGGAAGTGGGTCCTCTTCTGGGCCTACGCCTTCGGGGGCTGCATCAACCACTCGCTGACTCTGGCCATTCACGACATCTCTCACAACGTTGCCTTTGGAAACAAGCACGCTAAATGGAACCGCTGGTTTGCCATGTGGGCCAACCTTCCCATCGGAGTGCCCTACTCTGCCTCCTTTAAGAAGTACCACATCGACCACCACCGGTATCTGGGGGGCGACCAGCTAGATGTGGACATCCCAACAGACTGGGAGGGGTGGTTCTTCTGCACGCCTGCTAGGAAGCTACTGTGGCTCTTCCTGCAGCCACTCTTCTACGCTTTAAGACCGCTGGTGGTCAATCCTAAACCAGTGGGCCAGATGGAGATCCAGAACACAATAGTTCAGGTGTTAGTGGATGCAGTCATCTTCTATTTCTGGGGGCTGAAGCCCATCGTTTACCTCATTGCCGGATCCATTTTGTGCATGGGGATCCATCCCATCTCTGGACACTTCATAGCAGAACATTACATGTTTCTGAAGGGACATGAGACCTATTCGTACTATGGACCACTGAACTTGATCACCTTCAATGTAGGGTATCACATGGAGCACCATGACTTCCCCAGCATACCTGGCAGTAGACTACCTCAGGTGAGTGAGTCTCCTCCTCTGTGTCCCATTATGATTGCATCAGCAGCAGGTAAACTTTGGACTTGAGTCATATTTTCCGTGACTGCTATTAACCCATTGGTAGAAGATGAGCATAGGTGTTGGAGGCTCATGGCTTCCTTTTCCATGACATAAATAATAATCTGAAGCTTTTATAGAGGGCTGTAGAAATGCTTCTGCTCATTTATTGGACTATGAAGACAGATTTGCTCTCTTCAACCTTAGCCTGAACCAGGAGATCGTTCCAGTGATGTGGAAGAACTCCTGGAGATGCAACAGTGAAGCTTTCTACAAGAAGGGACAGAGCAGTCTGTTCTTCCTAAAGCTTGGTTTATGGTTGACACCTCAAGGAGGTCTGCGCAGTCAAATTACGTCATCTGGGGCTTCCATGGCCTTCCACTCGTACTTCGTGCAGACACAATTTCCGCACGGAGGAACTAAGAAAATTAGTAAATTCCCAGACGGATCGGTGTGGAAAACATGGAGATTGAGCAGCGGCTCCTGCTGCCGAGGGTCCGCAAATGGAAGCATTTAGACACATCCTGTAATGAATATCACCACTATCAGCAGATTTTGGAATAACCCCAGGAAATAAATGACTCCTTCCCAAACTGCACGAAGAGGCTTTGATAAAGTTGTAAAGGCTGTGTTTCCTACTTCCTCATGTAGTGTGATGATGTCACCTTACAGCTTGTGCTACACGCCCGTCCAGCCAGAATGGGGGGAAAGCCGCACAGAGTATAAATGCTACAGAAGCTGTGATGCGCGGCTTGTTTTCCATGGAGAGTTGATTTCTTCCTCTGCTAGTTCAGGAGCATCAGAGCAAATGACTTTAAAAAGCCCAACAAGCTAATAAAGAAGGCTGACTCTGTTCTAGGAACTCCTTTAGAACCTCTAGAGATGATTTCACAAAGTTAATTCTTCATCAAGTGAATACGATTATGAACAACTGAGCATCCTCTTCATCAGAGGTTAAACAACATCAGTGTCTGCAGTCAGAGGCTTCTCCAGATCCGGTGCAAAACAGACAGCTACAGAAGATCCTTCCTGCCTACAGCTATCTACACCTACAACAAAAAAAACAAACAAACATTTAATTTTAATTTTAATGTAGGGATTTTAGCACTCTAAAGTGTTTCAGATAGTCAAATATATTTTAATATCAGACAAAGACAACACCAATAAATAAAAATGTATATATATATATATATATAGCTTTTTATATATGACTTAATTTATTAATTGAGAAAAAACAGTTTCCCTTAATAACGCGGTCTGCCACCTATGGAAGGCAATGGCTGCCATTAGGGGTTTTCTTTGTTTTAATATGGCTCCATTAATGCAGGACTTTAATGTGACTTTTCAGTGAAAAGGTTCTTGCTTCTGGCATCATACATGGATCTGCATTCTAGCTGCAACTCTATTCTCTTCTATGTGGCTCCAAACCCACCTTTTACTGCCTCTTAAAGGGTTAAAATTTAGTGTCTTAGTCCTGTTAAATTGAATGTGACTAAAATTTAGGGCCTCTGCAATTAGAAAATTGCATCTTTCTAAATGATGATAATATTTCCAATCCAATTCTTTGCCCAGTCCTGGGGTCTGATCCGTGGCTGAAGGAAACACGTGACCCAGAGTGCTGCTTTACAGCAACCTGAGCTCCCCTAAAAAAGGGCTAACCCTTAAAAGTTGTTGCCAGGCAACCAAGCACAACCCATATCTGATTAGTCTTTTCAAGTAACTCAGTGACTTTTTCAATGATAAAAGTTCACAGCTCACAATGGAAGTTCTGGCACTGTGCGACCCGATGCTCTGATGCGATCTTATGATGGCCGGCTGAATTTAAACAGTTTGATTTTCTCCCGACCTTATGATTCCTGATTGAAAGGTGGTCGTGAGAGGCTAATCAGCCCTTGTTACCCCCCGTATAATACATGATGCACGATCAATTTGAAGCTTGGCCTGATTGAAAAATTTTTGCACGACTGGCGAATCGGCCTGAAAAGGGCAAAAAATTCTTCTGTGTATGCCCGGCTTTAGCTGAGCATTAAATTCCCAGCAGGATTTTCTGTTTGAGAGCGGAATTCATGATCCCCATCAGTTGTGACGTTATCCAGGTCCTGTAACAGCCCCGACCATAACACCACCACCACTTTATCAAGATCTTGATCGTCTTTTATTATTTTACATTTTTGTATTATTTGTAAAGTGACCTTGAGTGTCTAGAAAGGCGCTGTTAAATAAAATGTATTATTATTATTATTATTACATTACATTACATTATTTTACCTTCAAACAGGTTGTCTTTGTCTAAAATGTGATTAGAAAAGTGAAATAAAATGCATCTGTAATGCATTGGGCAATTTTTCACACCACTACAGCTTTTAAAATGCCTGATGCTTTTCTAAGCTGCCTTTCTTGTGTTTTCTTTGCAGGTCAAAAAGATCGCAGCCGAGTATTATGACTCCCTGCCTCAGCACACCTCCTGGTTCCGGGTACTGTGGGACTTTGTGTTCGACGACAGCATCGGTCCTTACGCTAGAATCAAACGAGAGTACAAGCTGAGCAAGTCTGAATAGGTTGTTGGTTATATTTAATCAGAAAAGTAAATTAAAGTTGTTAAACATTGACATTTACCACAGAGAAATGCCTTGGTTTTTTTTTCTTCACGTTTGATGCAGTTGATGGGAAAAAAAAGTTTTCTCTCCTGTTGTCTTGTTGCTCTGTAAAAAAAAGTAAATAAAACTATTGTCTTTAGAGTTGCAAACAGGAATAGTTGGATAGAAAAAGTGGATTTTTTTTCATACATGCATTCCTGCAGAGAAAACTTCTAACTTGGGGATGGCAGTTGCTTCTAACATCAAGGTCTCATACATTGTCATGATCACTGGAGATATCACTAGTGCCCTCCCTCTCCTGAAAGTCACCATGAGCCAGATCCCCCCCCAAAAGAGCTCTAATATTAACCCCATATTGCTGAAAACAATTAGTCTAATTTTGCTTTGGTAGAACGGAGCTGAAGAGGAAGAAGCGTTGATACTTTCAGTGAGAGGAGCTTTTCTTTGGTGATGCTCCGTTCTGTGGTAAACCACCTGATGGAGACTGCAGCCCAAAAGCAGACATGAAAACATCTCAGAAAAGCCTTAACACCAGTTTTACTTCTTACCCATCAGGGTAGGTTTTTTTTGTTTTTTTTTAAAATGTTTTTGTGAAATGTTCTGTCAATTTCTACTCACTTTTTTAAAAATAAATATTTGTGAAGCTGTTTTGTTTTGACTCACTTGTGAAAAGCGTACCAGCAGACCAGGAAGCCTGATGAGCAGTGGTTTTGCACTTTTGAATACATGTTTTTTTTTTTTCCCTTTTAATCAATGGTTCGGTAATTTCCCACCCACTAAGTTCAGCCTAATGCTTATGGGATAAACCTGCAGCTTCTGGCAGTAAACAGGACATCAGTGGGTTTCCTGTTGGTCTGCAGCAT